AACAAATCCATACTCCAACTGGCGTATAATAGGCGAGTTTGCGTAATATACGCAATTGGTGGTTTTCCCCAACCTGTATATAGTCCAAAAGAATGAAGTGTATCTGGAGAAAATGTTTACAAAAACATTCTGATGTATTAGCTCAATTTCTGAATGACAAAATGTTTTATTGTAAGAGTACGTAGAAATGTCACAAGTGGTTCTCATCTTGGGGCTTGAAAAGTTGTGTCTGTTGGATCCAAGACATGATTATCAAAGCTATAGTCACGTTGGATTATTTTTTTTCCAATTAATGCACATGCATAATAGAGTTTTTAGTACTCAGGTTACTAGTTTATGAGGATCCTTTAGCCATTACTTGCATTAACTTTGTGAAAGAGGCCCAGAAGATGTTGTCTTTATATAAAGGCTATGTTATAGTCCTATATACATCTGTAGGTTTTTGCACTTGAACATTCTTATAAAAATTATTTTCTCCATCAGGACAGTTAAACCTTTTGCTGCGGGAATATGAAGAACAAGGAAGACATCATAACCTGTCATCAGATATCATATCCAGACTAAAAAATATGAAGTCAGTATCCACCCTGGCAAGTAATAATGCGGTGGAATATGTCAGACGCGATGATGAGGAATATTTTCAGAAACTACGATTTGTTGTTGGAAAGCCGTGGGAATTCTCAAAAAGGCACAAAGAGCTTCAGAATCAGCTTCGATGGCACCCTGATCTATACCTACGACAGAGAAAAAGTAATTTGTGATTGATATTGATCCTTCTTTATATGTCATGTATTTGTACAAAGTGGATAGATTGTTAAATTCAGATATCATCAGGCACCCATCTTTGCATTTGACAGTTAAAGGTTTGTCACAATGTACAGTATCATTATTTTTCAAGTAGTACTTCACAAACCTTTCGCAAAAATATGATAACTCGTTAGTTACACAGTATTTAGTAACTAGACAGTATTTTTGCTCAAAATTAACTACAAAAAGCATTGACTGGTACTGATCATCACATGACTTATTAGTCTGACAGAAAAAAGGAGAGAAGGGTAAAGATTACTGTAGGTTACACATGTACAGGACCACTGTAGATCTTACGATGGTGGGCATCAAGATTCCTCTGGAATCTCTTGTTTAAAAATATTAAACTTCATTTAAATGTATACATGTACAATGATTGAGTATTGAAAAACCTTTTGCATTATTTCATTTCAAAAATATTTTGATTGATTTTTTTAAGTTGGACAGCAAGCATTATATACATAGTTTAACATAAATACTTCTCAGTCCTGTCCAAAACTATACAGTAGTTGTAATAAATCAATTGTAGCCAAGTTGAATGAAGACGTGTCAGACAGATGTATGGCAGAGCTGATGGGGACCAACTCTTACTCCAAACGGACATGTGAGATTAGTGACTTCTGTATCCAGATGATGACCACAACCGGCCTGTCTGGCTACGGAATTACCCACCAGCTGCTCTGGACTGTACTGGCGGAACAGGTCAGATACTCACAGTTGTTTTCTTGTTGTGGAACTAGCTTTTGGCAATCATGCTAGCGCTGTGATCATGAATGTTCCACACTATGTCGCAGGTCATACCTTATTTTACTTTCGCACATGATCTGTATAGTTGTATCGCATCTATTTTTCTGTCTCAAAAGATTCATATCTCTTATTTTATTTTACTAAAATACCAAATTGGTACACAGGTGCAGTATAGAGCGTTACATACTGTCAGTAGGTCACTGTGACCTATATTTTGGCATCTGATCTCAATCAATAAAGACAGGAAATTTGCTTTTTTAATGCATTACATTTTTCGTGTTTTATGCTTTAAACATGTAATAGATAGAAAATTTAATGGTGTCTTCACCATTAAATATCCTCTATGTATCCAATGCTTCGTACTGTGTCAAACTGATTTAGACATGAAAGATATGTTTCTGTGTTTCATACAGCTTTCTGTAACAATACTGTACATCGATTACAGATCTCGAAAGAAATACCACATATTTTCTTTTAAGTAGTATTAAATGCATAAAATTAAATTTCCTGACCCCTGTCATCAAACTTTAAGGATATTGCGATGTTTTCTATTGAACAATTTCAGAAAAGTAAGTCTTAAATTATATTTTTCCAGCACGGTTGTGGGTCGACCCTGAACAAGATGTTGACAGAGAAAGGACTGAGATCACTAGAGGACTACAGGGAGGAGTTTTGTGCCAACAATTTTTATGAGATGACTGATTTTATCAACATACATCTCCATGGTATCATCTCACCAAAGTTCCAAGATCTATTTTTGGAACAGCGTATGTATTTCCTTCGACTGAAAACAGCACTTCAGTATTTATGAACAACACCAATTCTCGTGAAAATTCATCAGGAAGTTAAGACTCGAAAAACAATTTGTATTGTCATGAGCTGTGTGTGGATAAGGCAATATTCTTCTAGAAATATATTAGAATTTGTACAATTTATTCATGTTAACTGAAATTTATTTCTCCAAGATTAATCATGTTCTTTTTAGAGAGAATATACAAGCAAATATTTTCTTCATTTTATGTTGGTAAATATTTTATTTTCCAAAACTGAAGAAAAATAATTCATATAAGAATACCATCTTTTTATATTGTGTGACGGAAATATTTAGCAAGGGAAATATAATTTTCCATTGAGGAAATAATTGTTTTATTTTGATATCATGTGATTTAAGAATATTAGTCAATCATGTGCTATCCTTAATACTCCAGGGGGTTCGCTCACTTTCGCTCTCTGCACTCCTGGAATATGTCATTGCAAAATTTAAAATTGAAGGCACACCACCAGCTATTTGATTGGTCTCGACCAGCTATTTGATTGGTCTCGA